GATTCTGGACATACAGCCTTGACCTTTAGCTTACAAAGACTTGTCTGTTTTCAGCACTTGCTCTTCATTACATGCTTTAAAACTCCAGTACTAGGTTTTGTTCGGTTTTTACATGGCATTGCTGAACCTATCTGCCTCCTGAGTTTCAAAGGAATTTTTGCAGAATTGCTCAAGGCAGCAAAAATGAAGAACAACCAGACGCAAGTTAAAGAAGGGACTCCTGCTGCTTGACAAGACTTGCATGTCTCGGTGCTTTGAATTTAGGCCTCCTCTGAGGAAAATGGCAATAAAAGCCTCATTTGCTGATGAGCGAGGTTCTTCCCTATGTGTACTGTTTACATACAGCAGTCAAGCTCAATAACGAAGAAATCTGGCTTCTGTTCCAAGGCAGCGCGTGAACGGGGTGTGATCCCAAGGTGGAAACCTCCGTGACCCTCTGTCAGAGGAGAATGTGTCCAGACAGTCAGGATAGCATATTGAGGAGTGCTAATAAACCAGGAAAGCAGGCACAGAGAGCATGACTTGATGCAAGGCGTGCTCTTCCAGTGCTGGCCAGCTCACGTCAGTTGGAGAAGGCAGACGCTCTTGCGCTCGGGTGTATTGCAGTTGTCACCAGGTCCCTTCCGAGCGTTGATGTTGTATTGATCCTGGCAAAGCTGGGTTTGGCTGTGCCCGCATGCACAGCCCAGCTGTTCAAAGCCACTAGTGAAGCCCTGGGCGATGCTCTGGCTCTCTGGCCTCCGAGCTGGGGCAAGGGAGGCAACCACAGGCTTTTCAGGAGCACCCGGCTCACCAAAGTGGTTTTAAAGTCATGTCTGTGGTACCGGCTATGAGCATGCTTGCCTAAAAGACAAACTTGCAACAGGATGTCTTTCCAAGCACTGGTAAATATTACTGTAATGGACTGAACTTATGTAACGAATATGTTATCAGTCCCTGTTGTTCGAGGAGTTTGCTTTTTGAGTGGCTTAAAAACATTGCTCTTACATGCCTGTGCTCCGCTGATTATTTTCCAGTCTTCCTGTGTCATACGAATTCCTTTGCCCTTGTAGGCAAAACAGCTCCTGTCCTCTCTGCTAAAACCTGTTTTTATAATCGGCGTGGCAGCTGTGTTGTTTTAGCTGGTTTGTGTGGGGGCACGGTCTGGAGAGGACACAGGGAAAGGTTCTGGCGAGCGCTGGCCCGGCAAGCGTGCTGCTGGCCGCAGGTGGGGCTGAGTTGCTCAGTGCTGGTGTTGAGTGGTGGGTCAGATCCTGGGGGCTCTGCCTCCCCCCTGGGCTGCTCAGAGCCTGCCCCAGGCTTGCAGCAGCATTTACAGTGCAGTCCTGAACTGCTCTTGATGTCTGGGATACTCCCCGCATGCAGATAGCATCTTTCCCAAGTGAGGAGACAGCCTCTGTGTGGGTGGGGTTGTCACAACAGAGATGCTCAAGGGAAATTAAGGCAAATCTAGGTAGGAAGGCAACAGGCAGAAGCTGAAATGCTGTCAATTGCCATGTGATGTTCCCATTCAGATGCAGAAATGCCTTAGGTCCATACCTTTTTTCTTTATTTCTGCAAGAGCTTACATGGGTAAACAAGAGGCGATGTCTCCACTTTAGCCCAGTGTTGTGTTGCAGCTAAACAAAAATACTCCTTCCTCTGGGTCTTATCATGTGTCCTGGCTTATCTCGGTTGAGAGGCAGTTTTGCCTTCCCCCAGGCGCTTGGGAAGCCCTGGATTCCAGTGGGCTTGGCTGGAGGGATGCTCCTTCTTCCCCAGCTGCAGTCAAGCCTGCCCCAGAGTAAGGACGGCCGTTCCCTGGAGCAGAGGGGTTTAGGACAGTGGTTACTCCTTCAAAAAACCTTGCAGATTAAATATTATTCCTCAGATGACTGGCCTTTGGCCAAAATGTCTGGCAGTTTTCCCATCGTGCTTCTTTATGTGAGAAAGGTCTCTCGGTGACGGTGGTGCTTTGATAAGAGTAATTGGTAGAAAATATCAGTCTCGCTGTGGATTTGTTTCCTGTCTTTCCTGTGATCCAGAATGACCTTGAGTTCTGCTGTATTTAAACAAAGTTTAACAGCTTTTTAATTCAAAAGATCCCAAATGGTGATTTCCAACTTGGTAGGCAAGGGTTTGAAGGCTGTCTATGGATGAGCCCTCTTGTACAACTGCAGAGCCACACCAAAACCTCCCTGCTCACCAGAGGCTCCTGCGGGTCGGTTCCGTTCGGTTCGGAAGCCGTCCCCTGTCCCTTCCCCCAGTAGCAAACCAATCAATCACATTTATAATTAAATAAACAATAGAAACACTCTTTCTCCCGCCATTGCATTTCAGCGCAGAGCTTCATGGTGCTAAAGAAAAACACGTGATGAAATGAGGAAAAACAGTTTGGAAAAGTTTTATTTTAAAAGTAGATGTGCTCTAAAAAAGTTTTGATTTTTATATATATATATATATATATATATTATTTCTCTATCTATTGAATATATCTCAAAGCAAGCTACCTGACAAAAGGAAAACAAAAGTATGGTATTGGTTTTCCTTGCTTTCCCCCATCTATTGAATAAGGTTTTGTTGGGATAAAATTAAAGTGCTTATCTTTGAATTTGCTTCCTCTGGTTGAGTTGGCACAGTACATTGAACGAAGGAATGTTCCAAGTTCAGAGGTGGCATTGGGGAATCTAGTTAAAATGACATCAAAGGCAGCACAGCGGGGCTGAACATGTGTTTGAAGCCGGATAGATTAGAGGCCATTATCAGCCTTTCGCTACTGTGCTGGGAACAAAAGTCGCTCTTTCCTAAGGGAAAAAAAAAAAAAAAAAGAGAGAGAAAGAAAGAAAAATTGCACCTTCTACTATAATGCCGTTTTTCCCGCGAACGGCCATGCGGCTTTAGTGTGCGAGTTGTGTTCTGGCACCAGGGTTTTGTGCAGCAGTTAAGCTGAAATGTTGTCTATTGATGCCGACCAGCGTTGGCGAAAATAATCCCCTAGATTTTAATTTTATTTTTTTTTAATATAAAAATTGCCAGTTGTTTTGTTGTCATCCAGTCTGCAAAAAAACCCCCACGTTGTGATGCGATGAAACTCTTTAACCGTTGCGACTCTTAAATTATTTTTCAAATGGAGGTTCGTCATTAAAGAAAATGAAGGCACCTAATGAAAGCTATCGTAACCGCCCGTCGGTATAGCAACGCTTGGGGAAATTGCTCTGCTCCCGTAAGGTGTCACTGCCGGGCGCAGCGGAGGTGATGCTCCCAGACGTGCTCTTCCTCCTCCTGCATTACCTGCAGCCACTAGCCAGAGCTGTAATTACCCTGCTTAATTTTCTCTTCTCTCATTTGTCTTCCTACTAAAAAGCACTTATCATTAATCACCGGTTTTATTTTCTTTTTAATGGCGTTTAATTTTGAATGCCTGGGTTACTGCATGAAATTGCATTCTTCTGATGTAATTTGGTGGCGATTCTGCCTTGCACCCGCATTTCCAGGGAGCCAGCGGGGCAGCAGGCACGATGGAAATGGGAAAAGCTGATGGTGACCATCCTTGCACAAGCTGGTGCTTGTCACTCGGGAGGTTTGCAGGCAAGACACCGCAGTAAATTGTGTTTCCCTCGCCAAATGGCATCTCGACTTTAAAAATCTGCTGGTTAAACTGTTTGGTTTACGTTCTGGAGAAGCAGCTGTGCTTGGCAGTCGGGGAGGGGGGTAGGTGCTAAGTACATTTGGCTTGTGCAGACTTCTTGTCGTTGTGAGATGCCTCGGGACTGGCCCGTTTGCGGGGTTGGAAGGAGATGGAGTGTGTGTGCGTGGAAGTTATTTGGTACTTTGGACAAACCAAATCCCTCCATTCATTTCCAGCCGTTTCTGTGGCACTGCACAGCCTTCCCAAGCAGTTACTTTTACTGAGTCGGGGAAAGGTGTAAAATAAAAAAGGAAAGCTCCAAATTGCCAAACTCCAGGCTGGCATTTGGTTTTGCATTCATTGTTTTTTCTCAAAATAACCTCGTATCACCAGGAGATGGGCCCGTGTCCTTATCTTGTAACTGGGCTCCGTTTCACTCACGTTCTTCTCATCCCCAGGTGTAAGCAGGAGGGTCAGAATGGTGAGAACGAAAATGTGTTTCCTTTCTTTGCCTGAAGTCATACTCGGCCAGCGATGCTTTACCATTAGGGGTGACCCCCTGACCCCCGTTGCTGGGCGCACGCGCCCCCAGGCCCTGTCCTTGCCCAAGGGCTGCGTGGGGCTGGGCAGGGCAGGTCTGCACCCTCCGCCAGCCCGCAGAAGGGTCACGGACCTGGTTCCCCATCTGTCAGGACTAGGGATTGTTGCCACCACTGTCACTTCCCTCTGCAGAGACCTCAGTCACCAGATTTCTCAGCAAAGGCTCAAACCTGAGCGGAGCTGGTTCACTTGGGTGTTGGTGCCCATGGCTTCCCTCCCTGACCTTGTCCAGCCTTCTCTGGGGAGGGCGCTCGGTTCTTCCGCACAGTAACTCCAGTACCAAGCCCATAATTTCTGACTGAGCTAGAGATCGTCTTAAGAGCAGCAGAGCCTACCCCTTCACTTTGATAAGCCATTTGAGAAGTTGTCACGCTCTCTTAAAAATACATACCTTGTTCACTGACCGAGTTCCCCTTGGTGTAGATGCTCAGTGAGCTCCCACTCCTCCTCCTCCTCCCCCTCCTAGCCTGCCCTGTGGTTTACTGTGTACATTACAGGCTCTTTTATAGAAAGCAACCAACTATAAAAGGTACCAGGATGTGGTCCAAGTCCTTGTCCCTACCCTGTGCCTAGGGCAGCGGTCGCAGGAGAGCCCTGCCTTGCTCCACTCCCGGCGATGCCATGTAAGTCCCCCCCTGCACCCCAATCTGGAGCACTGCTGGCACGGGGACCTGGGCAAGCATCATTCCCCATGTGGGTCCCTCTTGCTCTGCTGCACTTGCCCTGGGCTTGCAAAGCCTTTCTCACACATAAAGGGGTTTCCTACCTGCCACTCTGCATTGGTAAGACTTAAATGAGCGTGGTGTATCAGAGAAAGGCACTAAAGCAGGGCATGTTGTTGTTTTATTCCGGCAGAGATGGGATCCCACCGTACAGACTCCGCAAGCAGCATCGCAGAGAGATGCAAGAAAGTGCCAAAGCAAATGGACGTGTGCCACTACCTCACATTCCTGTAAGTAGCACTGTCTCCTTCCCCAGAGGTAAATATGCAAAATATGTGCGATCTCTAGCATACAGTTGCTCTGCTTGCTCAAGTTTAACCCCCCCTTAGTGCTGTATCATTTGGGGGATGTTTTAACGCAGTAATCCACTGTGCTAAGAAAGGGCTTGGTAGCCTTCAGCCAAACTCATCATCCAGGGCTGCCCAGAATGCATGTATTTTCTTAACTGTTCGGTCAGTAGCCAGTTGTTTCTCCCGGATGGGAATGGAAGTGCTGTCTGGCATCTACCTGCAAGCAGATTACATGCCCTCAGGTGAGCTGGAGGTGTTTGTGGAAGGTGTAGGAGGCCATTGGGCATGGAGGCTGATGTAGCTCTCAGCCAAGGTCAGCTGGGGAGAAATGCGGCTGTCCCGAGCGGAGCTTCTGCACCGGGGAGCCAAAGGGAGCTGTAACCTGTTCTCAAGGACTCGACAAAGCCCGCCCGGGGATACGAGGCAGGAGAGCAAAGAAGGTGCAGGTGTCAGTATTTCATTTGGCTGATACTGTCTCCCCGGTTGCTCCAGGTAAGCAAACAGCTTTTGGAAGATCAGCATAACTGCTAGGGCTCTGCAGCACCATCTGCAGCTCTGCTTATTATTATTTTCTTTTTGTGAGGAGTTACAGGTGACATTTAATATCTAGCAGGGAATAAAGGTGCTTCTTTCCCCTTTGGACAGCTGGACTCCAGCACAAATCAAATAGAGAGGAAAAAAAGCCTCCATCTGCTTTTTCCAGAAGTGCCTTCAAACTTGACACAGCTGTTCTCATTCTGCCTGCTCAAAGCAGCACAATACCAGCAGAAATACACCCTTGTTTTAATCTGATTTAAAAAAAAAAAAAAAAGAAAAAAAAAAAAGAAAAGCACCACTCTTTGTTTTGCCTTTTAAATTAGATTATTTTCCTTAGATTTAAGAGGGTCTCCTGTGCTTTGATCACTGGGTTGACAATAAAAGCCCTGGCTGAGGACGCTCACTAGCCATCCTTGCTCAGTCACCTCTCTTTTCACACAGTTGCTTTCACAGTGTGGTCGCTGTTGAAAAGGCTGGCTGGGTGCCTTTTTATTTCACTTGATGCCATTTTTACTGTAAGCATGGCTTTGTTAGAGTTGAAGTTTGAAAGCTTGGCCTTTATTTTTTGTTGTTGTTGTTGATGCTGTTCCCCCAACAGTGGGAACTACTGAGTGAATATTCTCCGACTTCAAAGCTTGTCAGTGGCTTTACCTTTTGGATAAAAATAATAGTGGCTTTCTGTTGATCATGTGCACTGGCAATGCCTCGGTGAACTGCAGGTTATAAACTCAGAGTATGGAGCATTAAATATGTATAGTGAGCTCTGCTTTAACGAACTTCCATCTGCCAAACATTTCTTTTGTTGAACTGAATAAGTGTCATTCCAGCAGCAGTTCCTTGCAGGCTAATTAGTTTTACTTAGCATTAAATTTTATCGACCTTTTTGGAAACCAGTTAAAGAAAGGAGGGGGCAGGGAGAACAAGGTTTAAATTGGCCACCTGCTGCTTATAAATTTTTATATTATCCTACTTATCTACACAGTCTTTTAGAATTACATATTCTTCCTAAACTACACACAGATGCTTCACAAGGATTTTTCTGTGAAACATCCACTGTTCCCCTTAGGTTCTGTGCTGTAATTTTAAGTCCCAGGGAAAAAGGCATCTTGACGCATATTTATATGGGAGCGGAGGACTGAGAAGTCGAGTTGGTTCTAGTCTTTCTCCAGGGAATAAAAGTTTAGTTCAGACACTCTGGCACCTCCTGCCAGCCAATTACTGACACAGAATTGGCATCGACTTCAGAGAGGCACTGCTCTGCCCTCGCTTATCAATCAGCCAAGAAAGGAGAAGGTAATTAGACAATATGTTTTGACAACACCAGTGTGAAATGTTATAAAGTTAGTCTTTTAAAATCACCTCTAACTGCACACTTACTGAATTAAACATCCCCAATTAACAAGGAGCCATGCAAACCTTTCTTCCAGTGCTGCTTTCCAGAGCCAGTGGTTAGGCTATCTCACAGCCCCTAGCTAAAGCAGTCTCCGTCAGCCGCCCGGACCTGGTGGTTAACGTGCTTTTAAATGTGTAGCAGTGACTAAATTGCAACCTTTGAGTGAAGGTCTTGAGCCGTATCTAACCAGTGCAGCCAGGGCCCATAGTGACAGTGCTTGCAGCATGCCTGGCGTGTTTTCCTGGTGATAGTGGAGAACCTTCTACTTCCGAAAAGTCATTTCAGAAGTCCTTTAGAGAATTCCCATTCTCTTGCAAGTCAGTTATGGGGCTGTTATGCAAAATTCTGAGAGAACTTGTATTGCTTTTAATAGCAGCACTTTCAGTTAGGTCCAGAAGCTATAAACTGTAGTGATTATCTGTTCATGGGAGGCTGCCCGCTAGCTTCAACAGCCATGCCGCCTCCAAATAACAGAGGCTTGTGCAGGTTATGTAGGATGCCCTCCTCTGCAGCACCACGTCTTGGTGCGTGGATGGCCGTGTTCTGCATCTTCCACACTTACAGACTCACCAGTGCTCTTAAGTCTGGAAAAGTTGTGTTTTGTGAAATGGCACTCTGCCCAGGAATGCAGTGGGTGAAGGTCTCTAGCAAGCAACGAGACCTTTGTTTTGTGCCTCTGGCAGGAACCCATTACATGGTGAGTGAGTGTTGCTTTTCATGTGGTTTTCCATCTCTCTCTCCTGGATTTGAGCAGACTCTTGGAGCACCAAGGAAGAAAAGAGCAAGCAAGTTCCCAAAGGAAGGGTGAAAGCTCAGAGAATGCAGGGCTGTACCTGTGCCCTGTATTTACCCTGGCTTTGCCATTCATTCATTTCCAGGAGAGGGTGGGAGATGCTCCTTTTTCTCCAGCAGATTCAGAAAAATCCAACCTTGAGCATTAACACTTGAGATTCCTTTTTTTTTGTTAAGTTTGTTTAACTGCATAAGGAAGCCATTTTACGGTGTATTTGCTGTAGCTTGATCATTGGGTGGGAGCTCTCCTGTCCCACCACACAATCAAGGAAGCTGCGAGGTGGCTTCCATAGTGTTCCTGAGTGGAACCACTTTTGGGTGACCTCTCTGCTATGCTGTGCAAGCGAGGAGTGTACAGGAGAAGCCCTGGTCTCATGCTGCCTGCATAACTACAGCTGAAAGAGCTTTCTGCTCCTGCAAGTTGGGAATCTGCACAGAATTCCCATCAGCTGTTTTATGCCATGTTCCTCAAGGGCCTTGCAGCAGTGGGACTCCTTGCTAATCCCTAAATGCTGCCGAAGTGGATGCTGAAATCCAGCTATCCATGAGACACAAGTATTTCTGGTGTGGAAGCACCATTTATCCTTCAGAAACGTGTGTCACAGAGGAATGCATTAATCTGGGAAATGTGGAGGCTCCGAAGTGCTTTTCTCTTGGCTTCTCTAGCCTGCCATCTTCCTTTCATTGCCAAGACTGACTTGTGATCTAACATCGGCCACTCGGGCATCATGGAGGCATCAAACCTCCGGTAGAAGAGGGAGATTTGCCAACACGAAATTCACCCAGCTAGATCTCTCAGATCAGATCTGTTCAGCCCAACCCCTGGATCCCTGGGGCTGCTGAGAGAGCTCTACCCAGCCATCACATTGGAAAACTTGCTGTTTCATCTCGGAGTAGTTGAGGTTTATTCTTTGCAGGAGGAACCTGCAAACCACAGTGAGATTCTTCCCTTTCAGCCTTTTCACATACAGTAAAGCCATCCATTTAGGATGCTGGTGTGTTCTCGTGTGCAACTTGGTCCTCAAACCTCAGTTTCTCAGGAAGGGGGAAATCCATCAAAACCCAAGACCTGCATCTGCCTCATGGAGTAAAATCCATGCAACTCCCACTAGCTCCAAGAAAAGAAGGAGAAAGCATGATAGCAGGTGCTAAGTGGAACTATCGGAGAGCTTGTGTATCTTGCATGTTCTTAGCAGGCTGCTTCTTCTCAAAGGTACAAGAGCTTCAGACACTTTACATGTCAAGTACAACGTTCTGGTGATAGTACCCCAAGAAATCCTTCCTCACAGCTGTCACTAGGAAAGATTGCTCCAGCCAGAGCAGTTCAAGCAATTTCTTTCTTGCCAACCCATCTGGCATTCAGCCTCCCATCTGTTGTCCTCTGCAACCTCTCAACTCAGCAGGAATTTGTTCTGGACAGAGCCATCTGAAGTAGTGGCATTAAATAAAAGTAGATAGATAATTAAATAAAATATTAGATAAACCAGCCATAGATAAAACAGTTCTTTAAAATGAAACACTTCCTTTCTGAATTGTTGACCCATGATATCCAGAGATCTCATTCTGGTCCAGACTGGAGGGCTGGATCCTCCAAAACCAGCCAGCTCTCAGAGAGTACTGCACCCTTTACTTGAAACAAAAGCATTCAGAGCCCCTCAGACTTCAGAATAATAAACAGTTTATTTACTGACTCCCTTGGCAGGGCTCTGTATGCTGGGGGCAGGTTCAAAATCCTGAAGCCCTGAAGGATCCTCGGTTCAGGCACAAGGCTCAGCCTGGCTGGTCTTTGATGGAACGTGTCTCCCTTCCAACGTCAGGCCCATCATTTGATAAAAGTTTCAAACACTTTGTTGTCTTAAGCCTTTTGGACCAGGTCAGTGCAGCCCATGTTTGCTGTCCAGGGAAACAGAGAGAACCCTCAGCAGTTATCTGTGTTGTTTCAGCACAGGGAATTTGCATTCATTATGCAGTACTCTTAGTTTTGGGGAAGTCTGTGCAGCTCATCCTTTGAGCTAGGAGTAAAGTCAGACCCACGGCAACATTCAGAGCATCATCCTGCTTGGAAGCTTTGTGTGAGTCACCATTACAGGTACCCACCAGGACAAGGCAGGGCACATGCAAGCAGTGTCTGGGGGGTGAAGTGAGGTTTATTTCAGTTGCGCTGAACTTGGATGTCAGGGAAACCCTTACAGAGGTGGCTTCACTGAGAGAACTGCATCTTGCACCCTCAGAGAGGCTCCTGGGGACCTCTGCTCGCTGTTGTGCTGAGCGGAAAGCTCCAAGGATGGGGCAGTGGGTTTTGCAGCTGCAGTGGTTTATCAAAGAGAGAGGAAAACAAGGTCACCCTAAAGGTTCTTGAGTTCGATTGTTTTCATTTCTGTAGTCGAGCTTCAGTCACCTCCAGGCTTTGAGAGTCTCCAGATAAACATGCTGAAGTATTAGTTGTAATTAGTTGTAAAATAGTCAACCAATAGTCAAACCAAAACAGTCATCTCTTGAGTTCCCGGGACACAGCAGTGGCCCTGAATGTCTTCAGATCTTCATCAGAGATGGATCCGTGGTCCTTACACATTGCTGGGCCTGGAGGGAACCACCTTGTTGTAAGAGGGCTCAGACAGGCAGGTTAGTGAACTTCAGCCTCGGCACCCACTGCTGCTGGAGACCCAGCGGAGACTTTGGTTTGGGGTGCTGCATTGCATCAAAGGCTGTGAAAATAAAGGGAAACTTTCCTCGTTCTGCTTTTCTATGGAAGCTGCCGCGGTAGCTGCAACAGGGAGACCCAAGACTGTAACTGCTGAGTACGGAGCTGCCTCTCATTAAGCTCATTAAGTCTCTAACGGAGCAGGGCTTGGTGCTGCTGTCGTATAAACAACCGCAGGGAGAGTTGGCATGTCTGAGGTGGCAGGAGGGAGCGAACACATCACCGGGCGGGTTGCGACTTGTCAGGCGAGAGAGTGACTTCCCTCCTTGGGACTCGCTGGTGCTGCTCACGGGATGGATGGTCGTGGTCCTGGGTTTGGGGTTTCTGATGAAAGCCAGAATGCTCCCCCGGGCCATGCGGGGGGAGTGGGGAAATGTTACTTGGCTCCTAGAAGCTCCCCAGGGAGTAACAGAGCAGGGACCAGCTCTGCCACATCTTTCCCCCATGATGGAGCACAGCTGGGGCCCATTTCTGGACAACACGAGGTCCAGGAACTGGGGTGAAGAATGACACTTTGGCCCTTGTGCCAGTATTTCAAGACTTATACATCATTTTTGTTGATGAAAATCTTTTTTCTCTGGTGTTTCTTTTTAATATAGCCCACTGATTTGCAGGGCTGGAGGTTCTGGAGGCAGCAAAGACTTTGTCACCCCAGGCTGGGAGCCACCTGGTAGCTCACACGTGTTCTGCCCCGTCCGGCAGCTGGATCCCTGGATGAAGGGGATGGTTGGTTGGGGCTGTTCCCAGCTCGGATGGCTCAGTCCTTCCTGGGACAGCTTCAGGTGGAGCTGTTGGTCCCTCTGCTTGTCACAGAAAGCAGATGCTAGAGCAAACAGTCCTTTTGCCTGCAAAGCCTCATCGTGTCCGGAGACACGTCCCCAGGGACGCTGCAGCCCAGCCCCGCGGTGTGGCAGTGAGCACTGGAACCCAGGGGGGCTGGCTCTTGCTCTTGGCAAACAAAACGAGCGGTGCTTTAACTGAGACCTCTGCGACCCAGCCTGGGTGACATAAAAGATGTCTTCAGCCTCTCAGTGCCATCGGTAGGATACCCACTGCCTCTATTTTTCTTCCCCTGCCTTCCACTCGGCAGCTGTCAGAAAGAGAAAAACCAGTATGGTTTGCATACTCTTGTCAGATTTTGAGGCAAAGCATTATTTCAGTCTTCCACATTGATCTTTTGGCTGGTCTGGGATAAATTCATGGGGTCTCTCATCCTCCTTCAGAGATTTCAAGCTTGATGTCTGCTTCTGGTGCTGCATTTCTTCTTTTGCTATGAATTATCTCATGTCTTCACATTTAATTTTATCTCTGGTTCTATAGAGTGTATAGTTCTCTCATGTTACTGTTGAAATATTTGAATGCAGGTTTTTATACTGTTGAATTTTCCATATATTTCTCCTCCAAATTAAATTTTTATCTCACTGTGTAATTTTTTTTTCCTACTATTCTAACAAAATAATGCAGAAGGGATAAAAATGATGGGAAAAATACAGTGTCTGATAGCTTCAGACTTCACTACACAAACTTCTTATCCCAGAGCTCAGGAATTTAGGGACAAAGTAACTCAGCATAAGGAACCAAGAATGCCCTTGAATTTCCATAAATATTCATTTGTTCACCCAGAGCAAGCAGAAAAATGGTATCTCTGCACTTGTAAGGTTACCGGATTGATAAAGCAAGCAGAGGGTTGTTGCACGGCTCTGAAGAGCTGAGACGCAGTCCTGCAGGATCCTCTAGTAAGGGAGGATGCTTTGTGGGAATTGTGGCCTTTTGTGGCTGGCTTGGGTTGTAGCAGAAGATGAAGGGAAGTAAGATGTCTTGGAGGTGACAGGATTTCCACTTTTTTCTGTGCCTGTGGACTAGATTTGCAGAGATTGACCGGCATATGCTGATCCACTAGGGTAAGCTGAAAAAGTGTGTAAGAGTCCTCCTTTCTATCAAAACGAAAACATCACTACTGTAAGCATGATTTTCAAGAGGTTTATCTCTAAATCTTTTTCCAAGCCTTTGAGACCAGGATATTCCTGTTGGCCGTGTGTACATTGGGAGAAAAGCAAGCACATCCATTCCAAAGTGGAGTTTGGGTGCTGAAAGAGCTTGTTGAACTGTGGCTCCAGAAAACCTTTCCCTTACGTGGGGAGCTGGTGCCAGCCAGGGACCTTGTGGTGGTGGTTCAGCTTCCAGTCCCCCACTCCTAGGCTGCACCTCCACGCCTGCCAGCCTGTCCCCCCTCAACTTCCCACAGCAACGACTGGCATTTCCAGTTATCCAGGCCTCTGCAGTAAACGTGTGATTTTTCATGCATCTTTTGCTAACACCTGGTGTGTTTTTCCTCCAGCGTACATACCGAATGCCAAAGGACATCCACGTTGAACCAGAGAAGTTTGCTGCAGAACTGATCAATCGTTTGGAGGAGGTACAGAAGGAACGTGAAGCAGAGGAGAAATTGGAGGAGCGCCTGAAACGCGTCCGAGCGGTTAGTGACCTCCTTGCCTGCTCTACCAACCTGGGAGTCTGTCTGTGCACCACTGGGAGGTTTCAGCTGCTGTGGAAGCAACTGGGGTGACCACTTCCCTGCTCCACTAGCCGTGGTCGTCACTTGCACAGGGCTCCTGGAGCATCCCGCTGCCCCAGGAACTCCCACAGTGCTGCTTCCCGCTCCCTGCAATGCTCCGTGAGCCCCAGCGCTCCCTCCCTGCTGTAAGATGCCAACAGTGGCACGGAACTGCCCACTTCTGCCACCAGTTAGGGGTTGTGGATGCTCTCCATCATCTTCTCTGGCACACTCACTCTCCTGACTTTGCAAGCAATCCCTTACATGTGAGGATAGGGACTGTGTAACAGGGGTTCATTTTCCCCTGGGGGGGTTTGTGTGATCCTTATTTCCCCACAAATGGTGACCAGATGGCAGGTGGTGTTATGCTTGGAGATGTCTGTGTCTGCTATCAGACTGTTTCTACCACAACCAAAAGGATTGTGCCCATCAGTGCCTAGTACATCCCTATAAAATTCAGGACTGATCAGGTGTAGTATCCCAAAACCATCTCCTGGGCAGAGAAATGCACTGACTCCACATGGGGGACTGGGGAAACCCAGCCCATGGCACTGCCTGCCTGGTACCCCTTGGTACCCCCTGGTCCTGCTGGGGCCCTTCAGAGCTCGAGGACTTGGTAGATGATCCAAGGGAAGTCTGCAAGGCCTTCAGCTCCACAACAAGCTCCAAAAGGAAGAGAATGAGGTATCGGTCATCTGGTATTACCTGTGTGAGACACCTTGTTCAGCAGTATTCACACAGTATCTTTGTGTCTGAGGTACTGCATCTCATGGCTACCTGTACATCTTGTGCTGGGGATGCAGGAGGGTTTTCAGAGGACACCACAGTGTTACTGTGAATCACCAGTGTCAGTATAACTACAGCCCTGCCTGAAGAAATTGTGAGTCTCTGCAGTTAATAGCTGCTGTGGCCCTGAGGCGAAGGCCCTGTGCTTAGTAACCTGCAGCTCTCCCTTAAAGCAGAGGTGGAGGTGCCTGTCTGGTCTAGCTCTGTGCTGTCAGAGAAGCTGAGCCTCTTGGAGCCTCCAGGGCAGACCCTCCAGCCCCATTAGAGTATTTGTAAATGTTCATCTAGTAGTTCTTCAAACAGCAAAGAGGTGTAGGTTCTCCTATTCACTTTAAATCTCATCTGCATTTCAAATGCAGAGAAGTGAGGAAGGCAGAAGGATCTCTTAAGGTTCCTTCCAGCTCCATGCATTGCTCAGCAAATTCCCTGCACCTCTGCATCCAGCATCCAGCCAGAAAAGGCCAGTGAGCTGCTATTTTGTGATTAGATTCCTGTTCTTCTGGAATTGCTCTGTTTTCGTGTCTGCTATCTATTGCTTTCTAGACAAAGCCAAAGTAACCAGCAGCATTTTCTGCTAACACCGTCCTAGAGCACTCTCATTCCTCCTCCTCCTCCTCCTCCTCCCTCTCCTCCTCTTCCTCCCATGGCTCTGTTGCAGCCTTCACCTGTACCAGACTACATTATCCCAGCTCTCTGCCTCCTTGAAGAAGTTGCCAGTAGCAATACCATAAAATCAGCAAATACCTATGTGCCAGAGAATATATTTAAGTCTGTTTAAACACATTTTTGTGTGACTTAATCTATTTTTAAGCCCAGGACTCCCACTAATGCTATATATTAAACCTCTTTGCTCTCTCCAGAATGTATTTCATTGACTGGCTGGCATCTGGCATTAGCCATTCAGGAAAAAAACTCAGAGTAAGCAATTGTAGCTTTTTTAGGTCAGCACTTAAGGTGCAGGAGCTGCTGGTATCAGCAAGAGGAGAGCTTGAATCCTGATAGATCACAGGGCTTTTTTCTATGGCTGAACACCAGGACTACAGGGTAACCTCTTACTGGGTCTGCATGGCTCACTGAACAGCAGCACAGGGAAAACCACAAGCGTTAGTCACACTAGGCAGTTATCAGCTTAGCAGAGGAGCTGGAAATATTTTGCAAAAGCTAGGAAAAAAGAATTTTTCTCCCCCATGCTGAGCTGCCTGCAGGTTCCCTTTCAAAAGCAGCATCAGTAATATTGAGAAGAGGCATCTGATTTAAAGCCAAATGCCTTTTACTGAAAAGACTGTAAGATTTCTGTTTTTCAAAAAAACCAAACTCTGAATTCATTAATTATTCTGAACAACGTGGGAGAGGATTAGAGGACATGTGCGTTCCCTTATTACTTTTTGAGCCACTTCAGCCTCATGCCCGTGAGTGGAAGCTGCAGTATCGTATCCTACAGATCAGTATCGTGTCATGCAGACCGCTCTGTCTTTGTCTGAACTGAGCAAATTGAAAGTAAGCCAGGAGAAGCAAAACCACCGCTGAGATTCTTGCTATTTGAATATAAAACATCGCCTAACTAGAGAGGGAAATCGTTTGCATGATGATCAAAAACGCACTCGTGGTTAGGTGAGCAGCACAGACCAGCAGCAACCTGATGGGTGGGACTGGGAGGAGGCAGCGGAGGAGGTTTGCCCGTAGCTCATCAGTGCGGATCTCAGCCTCCTCATTCAAAGGGAAGGGTACCCCCGGCCTTGCTGGAAACCAAAATAGCTCAGCAGACAGCCAGCAAAGTGGAAGCCTGCATCTCTCTAACTGCCGCTGCCTTTGGGAGGGGATGGCAGAGGTTTCTGTCGGTATTATGTCAACAAAGCACCATCTAGTGGTTATGGCACCCAGGGCCTCCCCGCCCGCCCAGAGGCAAGCTGTGCCCAGCTCACCCACGGCTGGGCAAGGTGCCGAAACGCGGCTGCGGAGCCCACACCAGCCCTGTGTCCAGGAAAGCTGTGCCCCCCCCCAGCCCCGCAGGTTTCTTCGGTGTAAAACGCAGTAGTGACTGCCCTCAGCCTGGGCCTCCTTGGTCATGTCAGTGTCTGGCCTTCCCTTTCTTCTGCCCGTGCCAGCTGCGGGCAGGGAGAGGGTGCTGGGTGGGCAGCGGGGTGCAGGTTGGGCGCAGGGGGTGCAGGTTGGGCACAGGGGTGCAGGTTGGGCACAGGGGGTGCAGGTTAGGCACAGGGGGTGCAGGTTGGGCACAGAGGGTGCAGGTTGGGCACAGGGGGTGCAGGTTGGGCACAGGGGTGCAGGTTGGGCACAGGGGGTGCAGGTTGG